ATCCAGTGTCCCTCCCATTTTGTTTATAAATGAAATATTGATTGGTTAAACAAAAAACTTATTGTAAAGATGACTTAAGACTACACTGTTCACCCTGTTTATAATAGTTCTCCTGAAAAGAATGGCTTGAAGCATTCTCCTATTAATTCACTTACAAATAATTACCGAATGAGTCCCAAGTGACTTTGCGAATGACAAGCTCTGCTGACACACTCACTTGAACAAGATGAACTGTTCCACATCTATGTTTTTTTTTCTTCTTCTTTCACTCAGTCCATTCTATATTCGATGCTGCCAAGGGCATCCACGTCAAAGGAGATCGATGCTGGCCTTCTCTCCATTATTTCATACCCAGCTTTTGCAGTGGAGGATATAAACCTTGTTAATATAACCAAGAGTGAAATCATATCCAAATTGCAGGTAAGAATGAGTAGACAGAACCTCTCTGTCCTGACTGAAAATCCTAATTGAAAAAGCGTTGACAGACTAGGTGGGTCAGGATATGGAAAAGAGGGAGGAAAATCCCCAAGTGACACTGAAAACTCAACGTACGTTTGTATTTAGGTGTCAGTCTGCGAGGAAGAACCATATGAGAAGTTTCAATAATTTGTCTCTTTTTACAGGGCCGTTATGGCTGCTGTCGCTTCCTCCGGGATGGTTACAAGACACCCAAAGAGGTACTGCTGTGGTCTGTTTTCAGAAGTGTGGAAGAATTAGTATGTCTCAGTTAGGATAAGAGGTGAAGTTCTGTCCTACTGTTAAGATCTTAGTGGATCTGGTAGTAATCCAAGTATCCGCTCTGGGAATGACTCGGGTCTAACGGAGAGCAAGGACTGGAAAAGCAGTTACTAACTGCAGAACTTACCCCAGAGTTGTATTAGAAATGAACCCCCCTCCCAGACAAGCTGATGGTGCCTATGAACCTCCCCCACCCCAGACCAGCTGATGGGGCCTAAGGGGAAACGGTGCCTCTGGGCCATCCCTGGATGTCTTTGAGCTGAGGCAGAGCTAAGATGGTTTGTGTGACACTTAGGTTCTGAAACTGGGGAGGGTCGATTTTTCTGGAGAATGAAAAAAGTAGTTTGAGACTGAATGTCAATAAGAAGTCAATCTGCTGCATGGAGTTTTTTTACTAGGTGGAGTTTTTTTTTGTTTGTTTGTTGTAATTATTTGTGTAAAATTCCCCTGTGTATGGAATACAAATAACTTAGCACTGTGAGTAACTGGTGTGATTGAATTTCTAGGATCCAAGCAGGCTGCATTATGACCCAGCTGAGCTCAAGCTGTTTGAGAATATTGAATGCGAGTGGCCGGTGTTCTGGACATACTTTCTAATTGATGGAGTATTTAATGAGGACAAAATTCAGGTGGGGACAGAAGAAATGACTTTGAATGAAGCTATTACCCACTGTATTTTGTGGCTTTAACCTGATTTATTCTGAATTTCAGTTGCCTCTGTACAAAGAGCCCTCTTTAGTAAAAGGCAGCTCCTTCACTAGATGCAGTTTTTGTGTAGATGAATTACTTGCCACAGATACTAGCAGGAGGGTGGAGAGGTGGAGCCTTTGCCTTGGGCTGTGGCACTGTTCCTGCCCTGTGCAGATGTGAATCTTTTGCAATTAGGTGAATCTTTTGCAATGTTGGTACTCTTTCTGGCAGTGAAAGCTACTGAGAATTCACTAGGGTTCACTGGAATTTGCCAGGGTTGCAGCCAGCAGGAAGGCCATAGTCTGCAGCCACCAGGACCTTTTTGGGAACTCCACAATGTGGGAGAAGCTGCCGTATTGTCCATGCTGGGAGGCTCTCTTGGCAGGCATGGTCAGATTGACCTGAGCAGGCTTTGCTGGGCTGGTGCTCCCTCATCACCAACCTCGATGCCCCCTCTCACAGCACTACGGGAAGGGAGCAGCTCCCCTTTCCTCTAACCTGTGCGGTATGGCTGCTGGGATAAGACTTGTAATACCTTCACTCCTTTTAGATGCTCAGGGAGATTTGGGACTGGACTGACCTTTATGAGGAACCATGCTATCTGCTGATAAAGTAACTGTTTTCCTAAGTTAATTCCTAAGCTAATCCCGAGTTTGATGTCATAAATTATTTCATACCTTTGCTGCCCCAAGCATTCCCTGGTGAGGGGGGAGCTAAATCAATCACAGCTCTCCAAAGATTAGAGTGGTTAACTAGGATTAAGCATATTAGTAACAGGAGTTCTGCAGAACTTGGAGGAACTGAAAAATAACATAGGATTTTAAAACTCCCTAGTATTCAGGAGAACTGGAGATTGATAAATATAATCCCTTAAAAATAAAATGAAGACTTAATTAAGCAGGCAGTTTCAAGCCAAAAATCCTTCTTTCTGTACAGACATTTTAAACTACATGAGAAAATTATTAACATTAGAAATACAAGCTGTTTTGGTGAGCACATACAGAGAATATTGACTACTTTTTATTTTTGTCAGTCTGGTATTCTTGTTTGTAATACCTTGTTCAACACAAGAACATTTTCAGTTCAGTAGACTTAGTTTTAATTGTTTTATTTATTTATTTTTTCAAAACCAGTTAGGAAGTATGGCATTCCTAAAGTGTCCCAAAAATTATGTGCTCATGACATAAGAACTGATAGTTTCTTTTTTCTAAATGCTACTTTTAAAAATGTCAGAGTTGCTTTCTTCCTTGTACAGAAGTCCACCAGATTTTACCACAGAAAAGCACTTGTGAACCAAGATAGTTGTGACCTTTATAGATCATATTTTCAAGGTTAAAAATAAAGATGCTCTATCTCAGTTTTGTGTTACAAGTTTGTTATAGATAAAAGACATGTGCTCAAGTTTCTGAGATTGAGAATACTGAGATGCTGAAACAGTATCTAAGAATTTGAATCCTGACCTTCCAGCAGCAAATCTTTTTTTAGAGATCAGATAGTAGTTGAAAGGGTCATCGGAAAGTACTAAAAATTAACTTTACTGTCTCCGTTTTGTTGGCTTCAGTGTGAGTTCTTATTCACGTCTTTTATTTATATTTTCCTCTCAGGTACAAGAATATAGAGAGGCCCTGGAAGGAATCCTTATTAGAGAAAAGAATGGAATAGTTCTAATGCCAGAACTGTATGCAGTCCCTTCAGAAAAGGTATTGTGAAATCTTTAGCATCCACTTCAGAATGTGAAGTTCAGATATCAGGATGAGTGTCAGTTTTGTGGAGTTTTTTATTTATTTATTTATATTTTTTCCCTGTAGCTATTTCATCTAAACCAACAATAAAGATTACTGCACCTCATCTTATACAAGTAAATAGCTCCTGTTGACAAGTGGTAGACTTGAGGCTTCCAAGTGATCAGATTCTGAAATTTGAGTGATTAGGGAGGTACGAGAGCAGGCTTAAAACTTTAAATCCTCCCTTCTCCTGAGTATTTTTTTTTCATGTGTAACAAGGTGTATATATTTAAAAAAAAAATGATGCTGATGTGGGTAATGAGTCTCCGAGAAGAAACAAAACATAGAGACTGTCTGGCCTCTTTGTTCTTTCAGTTGTTTGTAGTCTTTCTTTTCCAGTGCTTGAATGCAAGAAATGGTTTTCATATTAATCAGGGTTTGGGGCTGGGGAGTCTTTTGTTTGTTTTTCATCTTTTCTGTTACTGTTTTACCTGATTTTCTCATTGTGATAGTCAATCTCAAATGCTTAGCCTTCATTCAGCCAATCCAGTGCTCTTCCACCCTAGCTGCCTTTGGATTCCTTCCTGCCAACCTCTCTTCCTGCTCCAGACCACACTCACTAACGGTGTGGAACCTCCTGGACTCGTCTGAGTTTATGCAGGGAGTGTTGACAGCTGCTGTTTTTATTCACAGATCTGAGGCTGAAATTCCGAATCGCCTTCCTACTTACTTGGTAGGAGCACGTAAGAGTGCAGAACCTGCCGACGACCTTTCATAGGCACCAGTATAGTGTGATGAGCATACCAGACAAGCAGACTGTGCCTGCTGTTTTTGCAAATTTCTAATGCCTGTGACAGAAGTGTGCGTTGTCTGAGAGGGTTTTAGCACTTTTGAGGCAGGCCTTATAAATTAAAGGTCTCTTCTTCCAGTGACCGTTTGAATGTGGAAAGGGTGGAATAGGCTTTATTTTTTTGAAAAGCACCTTTATTCCAGGAAGCTAGGTAGACATAAGTAGAATGTATCATCTTGCAAGGGTTTTGAGAGCAGACGGAGTTACCTACAAGCGACCCAGAGGGAAGGAATCAAAGGCATAGCAAGAAAAAGGAAAGTGCTATTACTCACTGTATAACTATACATTCAGTCTAGAAGGGTGCAGTAGTGAATCAGAAGGAAGCATTGTTTATGTTTCAGATACCTTTCAGTCTCAAAAGTAAAAGCAAGAGATTCAGGCATTAGTAGTAATGGCAGGTTAGAAAGGGTAGATGATAAATCGTACCTTTTCGAATGTCTTAATATTATTGATTGTTCTTCGGATTTGTAGGGTAATTTTTCTTGTCTGTGCTTTTGTTGTCAGGTGGAAGAGGAATATGAAAATCCTCACTCTGTGGATCGTGTCCCAGTGGGAAAGTTGCCTCATCTTTGGGGCCAATCACTGTATGTTCTTAGCTGCCTATTAGCAGAGGTAACAGTGTTTCTTGTATAGTGGGTGAGCTTGTATTACACTCTGCTTTGGCTGTGTTCACTCTAAGTACACTTCTGTATACTTCAAGTACAATTTGGTTGTCCGACAGTGGACAGCAGTGTCGTCTGACAGAAACGTATGTGACTCACCAAGTGATTCAGAGCTTTCAGGACCTTTTTTGGATATAGGTACTAGTTTGTAGGGTTGTCAGGTGAATTAGGTGTGTGGTTAGACTAGAAGAATATGAAGTCTAAGCTAAAGGATTTGCTGCTCAAACTTACATTGCAGTTCCATAGCACTATATAGACTTTGCACTATTGCAGTTCCACTGGGCTGGCCTTATTCTGCAGCACAAAATCCCTGCCAACATTTTCCAGTATGAGACGTGTACTTGTTAAAGTATCTCAGTGGAGCTGTAAGGCCAAATTGCCTCAACTCTTTTTGAAACATATTTCAAGAACTGTTTTTACTCAGTATATGACTCCATAGAAGGGGTGGAAAAAACAAAGCTCTATGTTTTGCTACCCTACTAAAAATGAGAAATAGGATTTCTTCTGGATGTCATGAAAAACCTTTTACTTAATTTTTGTTTATGTTACTTTTCTCTTTCACGTTTATTCTAGGGGTTTCTGGCTGCAGGTGAAATTGATCCCTTAAATAGAAGATTTTCCACTGGATTTAAGCCTGATGTTGTGGTTCAAGGTTAGTGATATTTTTTGTTTAAGCGTTCTGGGGGAGTTGCATTCTGTAATGGTGAAGTGCCTCTGCAAGGAAGGCACCTTATCAGCCAGCTGTTCAGTATCTTCTCTCCCTGAGTGTAGAAAATAAAGTGGGTATTTCCATAGCTCCTGGCAGTCCGTGCACTTACCTTTGCTTCCTTTCCCCTACTAGTGTCTCGTAGCAGTGATATTCAGTTATTCTGAAGTATTTATAGTAGAAATAGAAATGCTTGCTTATTTTAAGCATTCTTTGTTATTTTAATGCAAAAAAAAAAGTACTGAATTATTAGTCCCAAACCAGTAATCCAGCTAATATGGGCAAAACCTTATGCAGAGCAGGAGATGGAATTGGGGCCTTGGGTTGGAAATTCTTTACGTTCTGGGCTTTGTTCTTCCTCTGCCGTTTTCTGGCCTTTGTAATGTTTGTGGCTATAAATAATAGCACCTGGTTCCCATTGACTCAGCTGTGTTGTATGGAAACAACAAAGATTTTTCAAGACAGGCTTTCCCATGTTTTGCTATAGCAGACCCTATATGATTTGAGATTGAAAGAAAAAGATCCAACCTTGTGGTACTAAAAGAAATCAAAAAAAAAAAAAAAAAGAAAAAAGTGATAAAGCCTCAAGCAACCTTATCTGACCTCAGGGCAGTTCCTGGTTTGAGCAGGAGGTTGCAGTAGAGGCCTCCTGTGGTCCCTTCCAAATTGAGTTATCCAGTGATCCAAAGCGGGAGGAAATGACAAGATGTATTGAGAAATAGAGAGTCCAAAAGCTGCCAACATCCCATTTGATCTCATGGAGTCATGAAGAAACAGGTAAGGGCCTTTATGCATATTTAGTCAACCACGTT